CTGTTTAGGAGAGAACGCTTGATCGTTTAGACTTTAATGTTTATTAATTGGGACTATTATAATTAGTAATTTAAGTGCTTTCGTCTGCGTGGGACGTTAGTTTAATTAGGTAATGTTTATGCGAATATATGATTAGGCGATGCTTTTAAAAACAGAAAAATACGATAAAAATTAGTTAGTTAGTAAGTTCGTTCGTGATTTAATCATGTAAAAATATAAATGTCTAAAGAGTTTGAATATCGTCGAGTTCTTCAGAACATATGGTAGCAGGAAATGGTCGATAATACAGTCACGGGCGAAGTCGGCGAAGAAATGGAAGCGTCTTTGTTGTTGTCAACAGACATTGAACGCTTGAAGAAGCAAAAGCGAGTGATAAAAACTCAAACTTCGAAGCTTTATACGAAACTTTTAAGATTAATGTCCAACGAGAAATGTGAGAGTGAGGAATTATTGCAAGGGCTAGACACATACGAAGAGAAGCAGCAGGGAGACGTTGACAATTATTGAGGAACTAATCCTAGCGTACAAAAAAGCTGGTGACAAACAAAATGCTGTAAAGACTGAGGACGAACTTGAGATTGTTACAAAAGATACCAATCGCGATGTAGTTACAGTGAAATCGTTTATAGTGGCTATGATTACTAAACCAATGAAACGAAGTCCGGACGTGCTGGATACGGCGCAATCAAAAGAGTATAGAGACGGAGTCAATCAACCTTATACATCAAAGATCGAAGACAGAGGGTGTTGATCGCAGTTTGGAGCATCTGCAAATACCAAAATTTGATGGCGACAAATCGAAGTTTGCAAGTTTTTTTGGGCAGCTTTTTCAGCAATTGTGGACGAGACAAGTGCACTTTCGAAACACAAAATGTTCAGATTAAAAGCATGTCTGAAGGGGAAGGCAGCAGAGGCAATCTTGAAATTGGGATATTCAGAAGAAGCCTATGAAGAGACAAAAAAGACTTTGATACGAAAGTTTGGAGGTAATCGTCGACAGATACAAGCGCAGTTAGAGGATCTTCGTAACACTACACCGTTTCAAGACGACGATGTGCAAGAAATTGAAAAGTTTTGTGGACAATTTGGTACATACGATCGGGATGTTAAAAGAGCAATGACTATGGAACGAGTTAAAACCGAACAGCATGTTGTATCTGTTATTAATTGAAAAGAATGTTGGCCAGTTATTTTAGATGGTTAATGGAGAAATGTAAAGAAGAGACCTTGGAAAATGTGAGTAGTGATTGGATGGTAGAAGAGGCAGAGTTCCTGATTTGTGCATTAGAGACGAGGGAAGGTATGGCGACTAAGAAAACACCAAAGGACAGAAGGCTGAAAGACACATGGTAGTTTTGCAGCCATGAACAATGGACGAGAGTGAAGTTGTGCATGTTGCAACAAGATTGGTCATGGTGTGTGGAATTGTACAAAGTTTAAAGACGGTACTGTGAGACAAAGATGGACTTTGGCAAAAGGAAGGAAACTGTGCTATCGATGCTTGTCGGAAAATCATCTGGGAAAAGATTGCCCTAGCACACGAGTATGTGGACAAGAAGGTTGCAAGAGTAATCACCATCAGTTGTTACACGAGTCCGGGACTCGAGATCAGAAGAAGAAAGTTAATCAGGATGGCAAGGACAAGATTTCACAGTCTCCACCTAGTTGATCACTTCAATCAGTTCCAGATTTAAAGGCTGAGAATTTGTCAGCGTTAGAACAACCGACTGGGGCAGAAAAGAAAACATACATAGCAACGTTGGCTTCGTCGAAATCATCTAAAGAAGTTGTGTCATTTCGTACAGTACCTGTCAGGCGAACGGTCAGAAGATAAGAGTTAATGCTGTCCTAGACGATGCTAGCAGCGCGTCCTATATTAGTGAAGAGGTAGCTGGGGTACTTGGACTGTCTGCACCATACGAACCTGTTACAGTTCAAGTTTTAAACGAAAATATTGAGACTTTTGATACCATGCCAGTGGACTTGATTCTCGAAAATAGTGATGGTAATGTTCAAGTTCCATTTCAAGCATCTACGTGCCCACATCAGATCACAGGAAGCTACAAAGTGGTAGATTGGAGGCGTTATCAAAAGCGTTGTCGCATTTGGGAGTGTGTAATTTTCCGAGGCTACAGTAGATCCGCTGGTAGATGTGCTGATTGGTCAAGATCAAGTCGATTTGCATTACGCACGATGTGATGTAAGAGGGAAGCAAGGCGAACCGATTGCACGATTGGGTCCGTTAGGATGGTCTTGTATCGGAGATCCAGAAGAGAAATCGTCAGCGCGTTGTCCGCTTCGTATCAATCTGATTTACACGTTCTTTGCTAAGTCTGAATCGCTCGAAGAACTTAATCACTCGCTGAAAAGATTTTGGGAATTGGAATCAGTTACAACCGACAAAGAGCATCACGTAATGTCACAGAAAGAAAAGTCGGCGTTGTCTCAGTTGCATGAATCGCTGGTCAACGACGGAGAGCGTTATCAAGTTGCAGTGCCGTGGCAAGAAAGTTGTCCAACTCTAATGAACAATTACGAGACTGCATTCAATCGCCTCAAGATTACAGAGAAACGATTATCGAAGAACGAATCCCTTGGAGCAGATTATGGTGAAACAATTCGAAATTATGAGCAAAAGAAATATATCCGTAAACTGACTCCTGATGAAGCAATGGTTCCCGAAGGTCAAGTGTGGTTTTTACCCCAATTTCCGGTGTGTCGCCCAGACCGAGCAACAACAAAGACTCATATTGTGTTCGACGCCAGCGCTAAGCATCATGGGGTGTCCTTGAATGAGATGATCCTACCAGGACCAAAGCTGTTGAGCAATTTGTTTGATGTACTCATGCGATTTCGTCGATATCCTGTTGCTATGGCATGCGATATCCGAGAGATGTATCTACAGATCCGAATTCCAGCTGAAGATCGTTCGTATTTCCGATTCTTGTGGAGAAATCTAGAAATTGATCGACGTCCTGATGTCTATGAATTTGAAAGAATGGTCTTTGGTGACACATCAGCTCCATTCCATGCGCAATTTGTGGCTCAAGAAAACACCCGACGACACAAAGAAACTTACCCCCTCGCGGCGGAGACTGTCGAAAAGTCAACTTATATGGATGATTCTTTGGACTCAACTCAAACCAAGGAGGAAGCAATCGAACTGTATGAGCAATTGAACGGGTTGTGGAAGTTAGCCGGTATGGAACCACGTAAATGGGTGTCGAATTCCTACAGCGTTCTTAAGAAAATTCCAAGTGAGAAACGGGCAGCAAAAGTCGATTTAGCTAAAGAGAATATCCCTACGATTAAAACCCTGGGCGTGTTATGGTTGGCTGAGGATGATGTGTTTTCTTTCCAAGTCGAAGAAGTCCTTCAACCACAGTTTACGAAGAGATTCCTATTAAGCCGAGTATCAAAAGTATTTGATCCGCTGGGATTTGTGTCACCATTCGTCGTGCGTGCAAAGATCCTATTGCAAGAGTTATGGTCGCAAGGGATAGGATGGGACGATCCAATTGAGCACGACGTGTATCGTCAGGCCAAGAGTTGGTTGGACGAGCTAAAGGATCTTGAATCCATAAGAATTCCCGGATGTTTGCACATGAACAATGATCAGTCCACGACAATACACACTTTCGTAGATGCGTCGAAATCTGTGTATGGCGCTGTCAGCTATTTGAGAACCGAACATCCGAACGGAAGAGTCGAGGTCAATATAGTTGCATCGAAAACTCAAGTGACACCATTAATGCCAGTGAGTATTCCTCGGCTCGAGTTGTTGGCAGCGGTCTTGGGGTTAAGGTTAGCATTGGTTATTGCAAGAGCATTGAATCCTCCCTATCTCCACGGCGTGGTTTTGGTGTGACAGTATGAACCGTGCTTCTCTGGATTCATGGACACGGTTGAGAATTCCTGCCTTTTGTAGCAAATAGAGTTGGATTCATTCAAAGTCAAACCAATCTGGAGCAATGGCAATACATTGGGACAAAGGACAATCCTGCTGATATGTGTTCTCGTGGAAGCAAAGCAGCTCAGCTGATTGACAGTGTGTTATGGTGGCGAGGTTCTCAATTTCTGCAAAAGACGGAGTTGGAGTGGCAACTGAAGAAGATCGTTAACGAAGGAGGCATTGGTCGCAAGATGGAGTCCACATTGACTTGTTTAGTCCAGCCTACCGTTTCTTCCAGCAGTCCTTCGTGAAGATTGAATCCATCAAGACGGTCCAGCTGGCAGAGATTCATTCATGTCCTGTCTTGGGTATTGAGATTTGTTAACAACTGCCATAACACGGTCGAAAATCGAGAATATGGTCCGTTAAAGCCAGAAGAAGTCAAAGAAGCGCAGCTTTACACAATATGTGACGCGCAAAAGAAACGTTTCAAGGAGTATGAAGTCATCAAGAACGGAAAGTTGCTAGCCTAAGATTGACGAAGACGGCGTACTTCGATGTGATGGTCGATTATGTTATGCAGAATTCTTCCCATACGAAGTTCGTTTTCCAGTCATATTACCTCAGGGTAATTGGGTGACTAAGTTGATCTTCAAGCATTATCACGAGATTGGTCAACACGTTTTGGGTACCAACCATATCCTGGCAAATCTTAGCAATGAATACTAGGGAGAGGCAGCACGGGAAGAGATACGAGCATGGGAGAAAGAATGCAACGAATGTCGGAGGCGAAAAATGAAAGCATCATCTCAAGTCATGGCACCACTCCCACTGAACCGACTAGAACTACCATTAAAAGCGTTTTCTCTAGTATCAGTTGATTTTGGTGGACCATTCATCACAGTTCAAGGAAGAGGGCGACGGAGAGAAAAGCGATGGCTCTGTTTGTTCACATGCTTCCTGTCTCGTACAGTGCATTTGGAGATGGCTTGTGGTCTAGACACGGACAGTTTCTTAAGATGTTTAACGCGCATGACAAGTCGCAGGGGTTGGCCTATAGAAATAGTCAGCAACCGCGGAAAAAATTTCATCGGAGCCACCAGAGAACTGAAGGAGTTAGTGGACAAATTGGATAATCAACGGATACAAGAGAGCATGGTTGTCAATGGGATTAAGTGGACATTTAATCTGCTGTTAGCACCGCATTTTGGAGGAGTTCATGAAATTATGATAAAGGCAGCAAAAGAAGGCAATTTATGCAATTTTGAATAACGCTGATGTGAATGATGAGGAACTATCAATGGTGTTTATTGGAGTTGAAGTGACGCTGAACTCAAGACCACTTACCTATCAGACGGCTGATCCGAAAGATACAGTTCCGCTTACTCCAAATCACTTCTTGCATGGGGAAGTAGGGGGAAAATCGTCTCCTGAGGCTGTTGATTGTTTGGAATTCAATCCTCGGCAACGTTGGAGAAGAGTACAAGAGTTAGTTAACCATTTTTGGAAACGATGGATGCGAGTGGCTACCGTTGATTAACATACGGACAAAGTGGTGGGAACCAAAACGTGATATAAAAGTTGGGGACGTGGTTCTCGCGATTTCTGCTGATCAGATCCGTGGACATTGGCTGTTGGGTCGTGTAAGAGAGGTTTTCCCTGGGCAAGACGGACATGTTCGTGTGGCGAAAGTTCAAATCGGACGGGACACAATTATCAGGCCAATAACGAAATTGGCATCTGTTGAACTTAGTGAATAACAATGACGTTTGACAGATATTACTGTCAAAGGAGGGGGAGAATGTTTAGGAGAGAACGCTTGATCATTTAGACTTTAATGCTTATTAATTGGGACTATTATAATTAGTAATTTAAGTGCTTTTGTCTGCGTGGGACGTTAGTTTAATTAGGTAATGTTTATGCGAATATATGATTAGGCGATGCTTTTAAAAACAGAAAAATACGATAAAAATGAATTAGTTAGTATATTCGTTCGTGATTAAAAGATGTAGAAATATTGTCTAAAGAGTTTTGAATATCGTCGAGTTCTTCAGAACACCTATCTCTTTTAGAAACTTCTTAAACTCAAATACTCTCATCTTGTTCAGACAGTTTGATGTTGAAATACCCTGTACCTTGGTACGGGACTGACGTGCCATAGGACTTGTGTGTGTGTCTGTCGGTCTGTTCGTAAATCTCTCTGTGTGTGTTTGTCGACACATCCTTAATTTTGTCTCTCTTTCTTCTCTCTCATCCACTCCTTCATAGTAATTTTGGTAACATATATATTAATATTTAATTCTTCTTTATAATTTGCAAATTTGCTGGCAGGTGCCTCGCATGGGTCCAAGGTCGTACCTTGCCATTTTGGATGACTTGCTAAACATTTTTTTCTTTGTACAAATCTAAATATTTGTATAGTCTGCTGTTTTCTTTCTACATAGTGAACAGAGTATATTGTAATAATTTGATCCGAATAAATTTGTTAAAAAAAGTCGATAGTTTCTATATATTACCATGTCACGTGCTTGTTATTTAATTGGAGTTACAATAGTAAATTTTATTCCTTTTTCTCTGTTTACAGCATACATTCGAGATCAAGCAAGTTTAGAAAATGTTGTTTTTTGTATTGTAATAATTGACTACCAGTAATTAAATTCAAATTAAAATACTTTATGATTCTGTCTTGTAGGAAGATGTTATCAATGTGGCAAGCCGAGCCACATTGCAAGACAGTGCAGACAAAGAAGGAGTGCAGGGCCTCGCTTGCATACAGTTTTAACAAACTGTACAAATTGTACATATAACAACAGCCAGCAATTTACCCATAGAAAACTATGTGCATGGTAACTTTAAGCTGGTTCAATTTCTTTTAATGACATGCTTGGCACAAGAGTCGTCAAATTCGAAACACTCGCATGTTAGCCGTTTTGTTGTGTGTGATTCAATATAATGGTGGTCTGGTAACGAATTATCTGCTGCAGAATTGAGTTTTTGTTCACCCCCTGGACTTTGCTCGAAGTTTTGAAACAAAAATCGCTGAATATGGAAGAGAAAGACTTGTAGTGTGGTGAAAAAATCAGAAAAATCGCTCAAGTAGAACAGTTTTGACGGGTATTTTAGTGTTGGAGGTTTTAGAAAAAGTGGTATTTAATCGTAATGTGATGAGTATATGCTATTTTGAGGCTTGCTTTTTCTGTGTCTGTTTAACTTTTTTTACCTGTACATACTCTCAAAATTTGCTTCGCTATTCATATCACAATTGTATGTTTTTTGTTTTTTAGTTGTGCCTCTTTGCAAGATGGTGGAAACAGCTTTGAGTTGTCCTTTCGAAACAGGTATGAAATTAAGATATGTCAATACAATTATTTAATGGTTTTTCTTTTACAATTATATTAAAATATTCTTTTAATAGCAACAAATCAGATTTTATTTACGAAAATTTGGCATGAAAGGAAAGCGAATGTATTGACGTTTTGGGGCCAGGTTCTTCTGTGAACCATGCGCGAGATTTTCAGCCAAAAAGATGAGGATTTCTCCAAACTTTATTAAAAATAGAAGTCTGAAATCACAAGAAAGATGAACACGGAACACAAGTGAGCAGATACGATTTTTTAAAGGGTATTTTTGAGTAGAAATATGCGATCAAACACTCACTTGGTTGAATCTAGTTTACAGTAATCTTTTTAGACGAACTGTTTATGCAAATTTGGGCACAATTTCGACTGTTTTCGTGACCCCATTGTTGGTCTTCTTGTTCAAGTTCCTATTTTAGCTAAAGTATGTTTCAAACGACACCAGATTAAATTACTGTGTGCGTACATGCCCTATTTGGCAAGAATACTTCAAGTATTTAATTACACTAAATAAGTAGGATATTCCAAAATCACTGTTATATCTATTTTCATCAATTTAGTCTTAAAATGACAACTTGTTTCAGACATATTGTGGTTTGAAATAAGTGTATTGAATTATTGCGCTTGCTTGCCACATGCAAATTCTCAAAAAGTCTGCACTTGAGTTCTAAAGCTTTTAAAATGCTTTTTGTATTGGGTTTTATATCCCCATAAAACTTTAAATCGATAAGGCAGATAGTAATGTTGATCCAACCTCATTTTC